AGAGAGAGAGAGAGAGAGAGAGAGAGCGCGAGCGCAAGCCGGGATATGAGTCCCTACCTAGTTTAACAACAACAAAGGACACATGAGCCTTTCTGCACGTTTTTCAAATGCCTTCAATGTCTCCGTGTAATCTGGCAGCTCCCCACCAAGCGCTGAGAGCCTTCTGTTTGCACATCCGTGTTACACTAGCTTGCACTAGCTCTTGTAATCCTAACGTTAAACTGGGAGTGGGGACCAGCTGTTGTCTTCCTTCCGAGGCAGAGGAAGCGCTGGTTCCTTCGGTTGTCCTGAGTCAACACAGCTGGCTCAGAGGAGGCACAGCTGAGGCTCCAGCCTCTGCTTCGCCAGCTAGAGAGCGCAGGAGTCTGCTGGCTAGCAGCCCTGCCAGCCTGACTTCTGAGCAGGCCGTTATGAAAAGCAGGTTATGTTTATGACAACCGTCACGCTGAAACATGGATGGAATCAGAAAAGAGGCTAAATGACTCTCACTCCCGCGCCTGGCGTGTATTGACAAGTTAGCATGAATTCAGTGAACTTGTAACTCTCCAATTACATTCAACCCAAGCCAGCTATGGCAAAGATGCCAATAATAGCTCAGTGCCCTGCCGGCCGCTCACAGAGGGTCTCTTCCTGGAGGGAGGATGGCCGGAAGAAGAGAGGAAGAAGGCATGGGGATCCCTCCCACGATGGTGTGCTCTTGGTTTAACTTCCTCATTCCAGGCTTTGTGCCCTTCCTGGGGAATCGACTGCTCTGTTCCTCCAAATTAATGGTTCCTGGCCCTGGAGCAGAATTGAAAATACCTATGCATTTAAATAGTAAGAGATGGAGTCTTACTATGTAGCTCTGGCTGTTCTGAAACTCATTATGTAGACCAGGCTGGGCTAAAAAAAAAATAATTAAGAAAACCTGTAAATAAATTGTTTAAATGCCATGCCATGTGTTTTTCTTCATTTAAAAACTAGTCTGATTATCTTATTTATTATTCATATTTTTCTGTGAAATAATGTCCCCTGTCCCTTTTCTTTTTTGTAGGGGGGGTTCAAGATAGGATTTCTTTTCTTTCTTTCTTTTTTCTTTTTGGTTTTTCGAGACAGGGTTTCTCTGTAGCTTTGGAGCCTGTCCTGAAACTAGCTCTTGTAGACCAGGTTGGCCTCGAACTCACAAAGATCCGCCTGCCTCTGCCTCCCGAGTGCTGGGATTAAAGGCGTGTGCCACCACCGCCTGGCCCTTTTCTATAATGCTATTCACATTTTCTTATTGGTTTTCAGAATTCTTTAGATATTAAAGACATCAGTCACCACTTGTGGGAAAAGTTTCTCTTTTATGTGATTGTTCTCTGTTGCTGGTATTTGCCTCTGCTAGAGTTTTAGTTGTTTGAGGTTTATTGATTTGTGTGTTTATCGGTGTGAGTGTATTTCCGTGGGAGTGGATGGGTGGACGAGCACAGCCACAGAGGCCAAGGGCATCCAGGGTCTTCCGCCACTCAGAGATAGCCCTTTGATGTTTGTCTGAGACAGGTTCTCACTGTGTAGTCCTGGCTAGCCTAAAGCTCACTATGTAGACCAGGCTGGCTCCAACTCACAGAGATCTGCCACCTCTGCCTGTGGTGGAACTAAAGGCCGGCACCACCACCTCCTGTTTTGCCCATCCATTTGAGGCAGGCTCTTACCCTGGATTTGCTTGAGGAGGCTGGAAGGCAGCAAGTTCCAGGGGCCCTCTGCCTCTGTTCCTCCCTGAAGCTGGGATTATACGTATGAGTAATGATGCCCAGCTTGCTAGTGGCTGCTGGGATTCACACTCTGGTCTTCAGGATGGCACAAGGGCTCTTAGACACTGAGTCATGGCTCCAGCCACTAATTTTTATTTATCCTTATTTGTGAGAACCTCATGTAGCCCAGGTTGAAACCCCAAATCACCGTGTAGCCAAGGATGACCTTGAACTCCTCATCCTCCTGCCCCCCGTCTCCCACATTGCTGGTGAGCCACCATACTCAGCTTCTAGTATTTTCTTTTCAATGCTTACATTATTGAACCATCTAAATTTTCTCTCTAGTGGAGATCTAATTGCTCCAATAACATTTCCTCTGTAATTCATGATCACCTGTGATTCAAAAATGTTGGCTATAGCATGAATTAAATTCCGGAGGTATTTGGACCTTTTCCTGGGGTTTGCTTTTACACCCAGGACAAGCACCGGCAAGAGACCCGTAGGCTTACACAGCTTGAGAACTGAGTTAAACTAACGTTAGCCTGGAGATTCTTCCTTGGACTTTTGTTTCCCAAAACACAAATTCTTAGATTTTATTCTTTTTTCATTTGTCTGTTTGTTTTATTATTTTATTTTATTTGAGACAGGTTTTCTCTATGTAACAGCCTTGACTGTCCTGGAACTCACTCTGTAGACCAGGGTGGCCTCGAACTCACAGAGATCCACCTACTTCTGTCTCCTGAGTGCTGGAATTAAACCACTGCTGGGCTAGATTTTTTAAAAAATTTTTTTAGGTGCATTT